GAAACAAGATCAGGCGACTTGAAATTACAGCGCATTCAGGCCAACTTACTAAAGGGAATAATTCCAATTGTCTCAATAGTTGAGAAACTGGTCAAAGTCCAGGATAAAATACCCGTTGAGGTACTAGATGTTGAAGCTCTCCTGAAAACCGCTACTGACTCAGTAGCCATGCTTGGGCCTGCAAATTTTGGACTCAACATGCAACGGAGAGACAACATAAAACCAGTCAATGCTGACTACAAGCATTTATGCTCGCCTACTGTACCGTTTACTGAATTCCTTTTTGGTGATGATCCTGACCTATCGAAACAGCTAAAGGATCTGGCAGAGGCGACTAAAGTCAGCAAGAAGATAAGTAAGAATCACGAAACCAAAGCAGGACTACAAAGGACAGAACTACAACAAGTCCTACAAACATTCCAAAGGCAAACGATTCGGTTACAAGTATTCACATAACCATCATTTAAACTCAAGAAGGCCCAGCTTCTCATATATACATATAAGGCCACCAAATCATGTCAAACTCTCTCGTAGCGTGTCCTTCCCCTTCACCAACTACTATCTGTACCTCCATGTTTGGAGCTTGGTGTATAGCAGCACTAGAACCACGTGCTTCATTTTTTGCTGCTTCGATGGCGGCTATTCCTGTTAGTCGTGGTCTCGGGGTGACCGCATTATTGCCATGGTATGATCTTCGAAGCTGAAGTTGGACTTTATTTTGACGACGGTTGAAAGCAGATTTCACCTCATTGATGTCAAAAACTCGATATGTTATTGATGTTGCCTTTTCCTTGAACACCGGTGATTGAAAATGACTGCGTTCCTGGACTCGATTTGCAAACACGCTAGGCATTTCCTTTAGTAAATTATATAGATACTCCTCTGGCACATCTACCCGTTCAACTCTAAACCATTTGCCTATAGTTAGAGAAGGTCAGTTAGTAGTTTCTATCATTTCATATGGTCCTTCAATGTCTTTTAAAAATCATGGCAACATATTTATTTAGCCAGTTGGACAACAATGTTTTTTCATTTGGTGTTATAAGTTTATACGAGTTTTATATTACAGAAATTGTTGCACATTAACCTAAAGGCAGGCTTCCGGAGTACTTACTGCAGGCTTTTGGGTGTAGCGAAGAATTTATACTCTCTGTCACACAAGCAAGCCATTCTTTGTAACGTACAGTAGTTCGCCTTTTATGTTTTCCATTGGGCCAACATGACATCATGCAGTTGTCATTTTGAAAAGGCAGATCTTTTACTTGCTTAGCTTCTGGATGCTTGCAATTTCTATACTTTAACAGCGACGTGGTTGTAGTAAAAGATAAAGGACATAGATCGCAAAAAGTTTTAAAACTAGTTGCCATTGTGTACCAAACTGACAAGCTGGTCCATAAACTGTAATATGATATTGTTATGTTATGTGAATGATACACTTCATCCAATCATTATAGCGAGTTTATTTGAAGACACATACATTTATCGCGGCACACCAGAAGTTATCCCGAAGGCATTTGAAGAATTCATTTCATGCTAACTGTTGTATAAGGTGTATCAAGGTATAAAACTAAATATGGCAAGTTCGTGACAAAGAAGGATATAAGCGCATTCGCAAAGAAGCCAAAAAATGGTGGAGAGCACGAAAAGCCCTCAATGTGCTGACGCGGCAGCATCTACAGACCAGCTATTGAACGTGGTAGATAATGAACCGAAAGAATTGGTTGAGACAGATCAAATTGAAGTGAAAAATGAAGTGAAACCTGCACTCAACGTCAATGTGAACGAATTGAATCAAGAACGTGAGTCGAAGTGTGCTGACGCAGTTAAACCTAACGGCGAAAGTTTGTTGGATACAGTTCAAGAAACCGCGAAGCCAATGAATAACAGGCAAAGTAATCAACACAAAGAATCAAACCAAAAAGGAAATCTTGATCGAAACAACGATGCCGAAAAACGTAATACAAGTGATCCGAAACCAGCTCTCAAGCAATTTTTACATGGCTCTGTCAAAGAAATCGCACCTTGTGAGATTGTGAAATCCGAAAAATGCATTGGGAGCGGAACATTTGGGAGTTGCTATCTTGCAAAATATAGAGGCATTTTGGTGGTCGTGAAGGAATTCAGAATTAGAGAAAACGACGACGAGAACAAAGTAAAAGAAGACGTTGTGTATGAGGCTGCAGTGCTAAGTCGACTTGGCGACCACCCTAGCCTTCCCCTTTTATTTGGGGTGACTACTACTCGACAGCCATATAGACTTATAACGCAATTTCATGGCGAAAAAGACAAAAGTCTTATGCTTTGTAAAGCAATCGACAAACTCTCTTTAAAGAGCATTGATTGGTTAAAGATAATGAGGCAGATAACAGAGGCACTGAAGCACATTCACACGATGGGGTTCTTGCATAATGACCTTAAAAGTAACAATGTTGTTTTAGAAGTACGCGGCGACCGACAGTACAATGCGGTTATAATCGACTTTGGAAAAGCGCGAAGAAGAGGAAGCCCTAAACCACTGAAGAAACTGACTTCTTCACAGATTAAGTGCTACAGGAAAAAGTACCCTCACATCGCCCCGGAAATACCACAAGGAAAAGGCCTGCAAAGTATGAAAAGCGACGTATTTTCCCTAGGGTATATGTTATGCCTTATCTATCCCTTACTGTTGGATGAGATACAGTAAAAGATCGCTTCCATTCTAAAGAGAGCCGTCTCTGTTTCTCCAAAGTATCGCCTAACGGTGAGCAAAATTCTTCAGGATTTGGACCAGGTTTTAGACCAGTGACTCATTGCTTAGTCAGTCCTCCAAAGTTTGTTACATTTTAATTTTCTATATTGACTCTGAGTTTTAATTATTGTTGTCTGTCTTCCTTGGGTAGTCAGTTCTTTGTTGAACTGTTGTTATCTGGAAGTCAATACTTTGTAAATAAGAGATTTTTTGCCATTCAATTTGTACACTCATATATATTTAGTAGTTTTTTGATAATAGCCTGTCTTCCTTGGGTACTGAGTCAGATCTTTGTTGAACTGTTCAGTTAGATCAGTGTAAATAAGACTCTTTTTGAAATAATTAGTACAATTTTACTATAATGACTTATGAGTTTTTGTGATTGTCGGTTAAGTTCTTTACGTAGGTCTTCATTGTCATCTCGTGTGTTTTGTTTGTTAATTAATAACATATTATTTTAACTTCAGCAATAGACCTTTAAATAGTCTTTTAAAACATTAAAATGAAAAAGGATTGCAGTTGTAAATCCATGTGCTTTCTTTAGTGAATTTTCCCCTGGCACCGCAACTAGATGGACTAGATCGAAACTCAAGAACTTAACTCTACTAAAATGGCGGTTTACTCTATGTAACTTGTCTCACGCGGACTTGTAGTGTAATAAGCGTCAATCCCTACGACTTGCCCTACAAGTTTTTGGTCTTTGAGAGTAGCCAAGCTTGAGATAATTCGAATCGTGTCAACCGACCTTAGGAGAGCCATTTACGCGGTACGCTTTTGTCAGAAGATGTAAACAGCTTCATGAGTAATTTAAACTATTTTGCAAATTTTCGTTTGCAAACTATGAATGCCTCTAAATCAATGTGGCATGTCAGTCTTTTTCCCTGTTTGTGATTTCGGCAATGCTGTTCGCTTCAGTTCTTTTTAGTTTATAAGTGACAGAAAGACAATAATATTTTAATGATGAGGCTCGTTATGAAGAGCTTTCAATAAAAGACGGAAAAAATCACTTAATTTTTTGTACTATTTTATGCTTTGTTTTTCCTTATTCATCTAGTACTTTTTTGATTAGTTTTTTTGATTAGTGTTTAATGTTTTTTTATCTAGAACGTCTAAACCCGGCTACCGGAATGATTCATTCCTAGTATAATCCTATAAGTATTATCGCACCTTCATCATACACATAACCGCAGATTGCGATCAGATTTCTAACATTCAATGTTAGTTAGCAGCAGGGACACCACATTCCTGAACTGGCCTAAGCTCGTCATGGTTGGCTCACCCTAACGTTGATGCTTCTAATCCATTTGTAGTTGACTTGTAGGAGCAGATCAGTACTGGGACATAGTAGAAGAAGAAATAATCAACGGTCCAGGAGCTACAGCATCCAAATCAAAAATCGGATATCTACTATCTGGACCATTTCCGAACAACAACAGTGACTATGGCAAGCCAAACCATTCAAAAGCGATTGAGTTTGCAACTGCCTGTTGAGATATCCGACTAATGATTGAGAATGACAGATTGCTATGGTGCAGAATTACGATTGAGGAAGAAAACAAAGATCAAGGAACGAGAACCACAACTGGTGAATGAGAATCACGACTGTTCAACGAGAACATGACTGTTCAACGGGAACACGACTGAGGAACGAGAATTGAAATGATGGGGTCCCTGTGGACGAGCGTGGTGATCAGCAGCTTTTGCCGTGGTTTTAACACAAAATGGCTGAAAGTAAGAAGTTGCGGCATGAAATCTTAGGAAAAGCTAATGAATTGTCGAGTCTTCTCGTCGAAAGTGGTGAAAAAGGCAGTAGTAATGGTAATGATAACAGTAGCAGTTATAATCAGCCCTTAGGTGTTCAGTTTAACTGCACAATTAAGTTTATAACAATTGTTCACTTCAACTCAAATTAAACTGAACTGCATAACTTTATAACAACTCATGTAACTTCAACTTTTAAATTAACTTCTTACTTCAATATATTGCAATATATTGGGTTTCATTACTTTGCATGCATTGGTTTACTTTGTAAGAACATATTAAATAAGTTCATTGCTTGATGTAACTTTGCTCTGCTACCATTTCTACTGAAATGTTAAAATTTCCCCACAGGTGTGTCTTTTTATGCAAATAAATTATGCCTTTTGCAAATAGTTTCTGCTAAAAAAATCTTTGACTTTTAGATATTCAATGTTGTCATATAAGCAATAACGTATCATTGATACCTGTATGTGTGCAAAGAATTGGCAGCAAACTATTATTATAAGGTTGCTATCTTGGAAAATACCCAGAGTTCAGTGGTGTTCAAATTCCTATGCACGTGGATGGTGAGTTTATATTTCCATTAATTGTAATTTCAAGGCATATTTATGCTAGAAATTTGAAGACAGCCAATGGGAATCTTTTTTTTTTCTTGTAATGGAATTGAAATGACAGATTTTTATTGCTACATTCAGAGTGGTACAATCAAAAACTTCACATGGTGCACTTTTTTTGAACACTTAATGAATTGAATTATTTGTTTAGCTATTTTATATTCCTATTGAGAAAAAAAATGCGAGTCAATGGCAGTTTTTACACTTTATATGTGTCTATTGTGTTGTTTTTCAAGTTCTTGTTGAGTTCGACAAAAGCCGGAAAGAGTCATCGTCATGATTTGGGGGCCCTTAAAWCAACTAATTGTGAGCGCTCCCTTGGATAGGTGCCTTGCCTCGTTTTCATGTTGTACTTGTAGGTTTCCCGCCAGTTATTCATGATCGGGTTTCAAGTGCCTTTTACATAGCTTATAGTTTTTATCTAAATGTCTTATTCCTTACGATCTCGACAACCAATTGATTACAAAAGTATGAGCGAAGGAAAGGAATCTTCAGTTAAAGCAATCGACAGTGATGCAGGAAACGATAGCGACGTTGACGGCGAACAGGATCAGGAATGGGAAGCTCTGATGGAGGAGCTCGCCGAAGAAGAAAAGCGACGAGAAGAGCTGTTAAAGAATAAGCAATCAGCCCAACGTACTCGAGAAAAGATGCAGTTAAAAGAGAAAATCGCTAACCTGAAAGCCCAGAACGCTAAGCTGGTTAAGGCGGACAATGAGGGCCTTAAAATTTCACCCAAACAATTGCACTCGTCATGTCATTTGATGATGATCATCGTTTGAACCACAATAACTTACTATCTCTGTTATCAAAGAAAAATTTGAAATAGATGGAGACATTACCGTGAATACTCCGTACAAAATTGACCTATTTATGTGATATTATTTGCCTTATAAATGTAAATTTGAGTTTATACATAATAAACAGAACATTGACAACGAGTAATGCCGCCCATATGCCATATTATAAAACTAAATGTAGGCTTATTTTACGGTAAATTCCGAAAAGCTGCGTTAATAAGTTGAAGTTGCATACATTTACGATCCAACGTGAACTCTATTAAAGTATGCTTACCTTTTCAACAAGAAGTACAATATGAGGGAGCTGTATTTAACAAATCCAACAAAACGGTTGASTTCGGAACGTATGTACTCGAACGTACGGTACAGGCAGCCCATAATACATCACAGATTTCCTAAAATTCACTTCCGCCGTGAGAGCTCACTTCCGCCGTGGCTATTTCTCTTTGTTTTGCCGTGAGTTTGCTCGCTTGTGAGTTTTAATTCATTCTTGACCCTTGCGGTCCAACGTAMAAAAAGGATCTTTAAATGTTTTCCAGGTCTGATGCTCAGCAGAAAAAGGAACGGGTCTCGTGGGCTTCGTGTGCAATTTATATCATATTAACACAGGGAACCCAAAGATGTCAGCTTTGTCTGTTTTAAATTCCCAAACAAATTTCCACATAAGATCAAAACCATTACCAAGTGAATTATTGGACCATTGYAATTTTTCGTTTRATCATGACATTGTCTTATTTTAAGGCGGCTAAATACGAGAAACAAAAACCATCAACTTGGCGCGCAACATATATCAAAGTATCAAAGTTTCTCGTTTTTCATGCATCGTCAACTTGTTATGCAACAAAAATGCATCGTGAAAAACGAGAAACACCGATTCTCAACTTGAACAGAAACAATGTTTCGCACCAAGTTGAGGGTTTTTGTTTCTCGTATTTAGCCGCCTTTAGAAAATCAAAATTCATGAATGTCATTTTACCCAGGATCCCCCGCCATGAATCCATTTCACCGCAGGTACTTTRAATAAATCATTATGTCGAAAGTGTTCGTTATTTTATACCGATTCTTTCCTAGAACCAACCATTGTATACAAACTGAAAGGGAGGTGAGTTGCGATAATTTTGAATGTCATCAAASTGTTTGTACTAGTTGGTGTSGATTCTTCATTACACAATTTACGATTTGATTGTTGCCATTATWTCAATGTTTTTGCAGAAATGTTGCTGKSKRTSSATGTAACACTCAATTTAAACGGTTTCTTTGTACTTTAATTCTTTGGGATTCATAACATCTAAATGCCATATTACAATGTAATACCCAATCAAATAGTTATTATATTCACCTTTCAATTGTCAATTTTCAATTGTCACAAATAAAAGCTTTTCATAATTATCTATGAAATATCTATCTTTCTCTTCCATTTCGTAAAATTGATTTTCACTAGTGAAAATAACACAATCGAGGTTTCTCTATATACATTGCAAGAAAGAAAAAAGGTATTTTACGACATAATTTGCTTTCACATAAAATTATATGATAAATAGAATATTACATATTAGCTTGGGGATACAAATTTTATCTTCTCGTGTTGGTTGGCCACGCTCACTCGTGAGAGATCTCTTCAACACTCGAAGATAAAATCCAATCTCTGCGCGCCCATGTAATATCCTCTATATATCAAAAGCATAAACAATATGTTACTAACGAGGAATAAGTTGAACGAATCTTTCACTCGGATAAGCAATCTTGACATTCTGTTCTATCAGCTCCATAGATCTTCTTCAGACACTAGTGAGTCTCCCAAAATGGTAGAAAAAAGAACAGCTAGTGTCTGCATTTCTCATTGTATTTAGTTCAGAGTATATTCTTGTTTTTTTTTTAATCTTCAGGCCAGATACTAGTTTGTCTGTTTGAAACAGTACAATGTCCACATTGAATGCAGAAAGCCACCCTCAAGGACAAGTTGTTGGAAACCGTATATACTATGGCAACAACAGTAGCTATGGTCTGTCCTGTTCCTTTGGTCCCTACACTAGACAAAAAGCTTTTAGCATCATATTTTGCRTTTTGTTTATATTTGCAATGGGTGTATTGAATTTGGCATTGGGTAACCTTATTGGCGGTCTGGTGTTTCTTGCTGTTAGCATTATGATGTTGTCTATTTTTATCTGGTGCTGTTATAGACACAGAACRCRCAATCCAGGAATGCAGCCCAGTGTGACCTTTAACCATGTTCCTGGACAAGCAATACCAGGACAGAACCAAAGTCCAATGTATCCAGCTGTGCATATATACCCTCCTCAGCAACATACAGCCCAGCCATACCCAACACAGCAACATTATACCCCACCCTACCCTTCACAAAGTTACCCTAGTCATGTAACCCAAGCACAGCACCCCACACAGACACCATCAATGTCAGCAGTACCAACACAAGGTGTACAAGCTCCTCTACAACCAATGGGAGAGCCTTTGGCCCAGCCTCCACCAACATATGAGGAATCTATGGCTTTGACACAGAAATAATGATAATTTATTCACTGTTTTTTGTTTCTTTTGAGTTTTTTTTGCCATTTTTGTATTTTTTTACAGATTATTGAATTAATGGAAATTGTTGTCTAAACGACATCATAATATAAAAATTAGATAACACATAGCGGAGCTCCAATCAATGCAGAAGAAAATTATTATTTAGTACTACTATTTCAAGGATAGCCTTATAGYAGAGTAGAGAATGCTGTTTTGTTGACATGCAAACAAATATTATAAACTTAGCAAAAGAGTAYGAATATGAAAATTTCGTACTCTGAATAATTTATTAACATAAGTTATTACAAAAAAATATCTGACAAATAGATAATGATATAATTAATGATTATTTATATATATTAGTGTACATTAAAGCATAGAAGTATCTAGTAAAAATGCAGTTTTTTTATTCAGTCCTTGGGGTCCCCACAAGAAAACAAAATATTTTGTTAAAACAATGTGAAAAACCAAAAATGATTCAAAACGAACAAATAAAACCGGATGTAACGCAGGACGCAGGCTATGAATTACCCACAATTCGCATCGTGACAAGTCAATTAATTAAGAAGTCGACATTGTCCATCACAACCCAGAGATCACAACCTGCCAAGAGAGTATAAAAGCGAGATATCAACACATTTTCCTCTTCAATAAGGTAAATTACTGAAGTGCTCAATCTTAAAATAAAGTGCTTATGATCTCTTCCGTTTCCTCTATCGAGTGAAAAAATCAGACCCAATTCAAGATGAGATAACAAGCGTTATTTTTATTTGTGACTCAACAGATTTGAATCAAGCACATTAAGCTCTTTAGGGCTTATATTTCGTTGCTTAGAGAATTTTTTCTTTAAATTTTAGAAGATCTGAATGACAAATCAAACAGRAAAAATTATGTATCTACGCATTTTAACAATATTTTTGTGTTTAGAACAAACCTAACATGCATAACCAAGGTCGGCAAGTTGGCAATCGTATTTATTATGGAAACTACCGCGGAGGTCCTTGCAGCAGCCCACAAAACAGAAATAGATGTCTTCTGATTTTTTTCACCGTTTTGCTGTTATTAATTGGATTCATAGTTACAATAATTGGCTTTACTCTTAAGCCATTTTGGAGCGAAAGCGATGCAAGTTGGTGTTCATTTTGTAAAGAGGACAGGGAAACCACATTAAGAAACACTGCTAACTGTAGAATTGCAGGTCCTATAGTTCTTGGTTTGGGTGGCATTGTATTGCTCTTTACTATTTATTATAGTAAGAAGATTAARAACGATCCTTCATATGCTGGTGCTGAAGTCAATACAGCTGCTCCAGCTTCAACAACAATGACCTATGGCTCTGCCCATCCTGCAACGACAACAACAACGGYCCATCCTCCACCTCAACAGTACCCCMCTTCACAACCATATCCTCCAAGTCAGTACCCCCCTCAGTCTTATCAACCTCCAAGTCCATATCCACCTCAGTCTTCATTCCCACCTCCAGGTCAACAGCCTCCTGCTCCACCTTCAAGTCAGTACCCCCCTGGTTCTACTTACCCTGCTCCAAGTGCTCCACAAATGCCGCCWCCACCTTCCTATAATGATGCTACTGGATTCAGTGAAAAAAATTGATAAATTAAAAGCAATCTGGAATTGCCATCAAATGGAACATTTAAAATATGTTTAGGATTTTACATCAAGGACTACTAAAACATTTTACATTTCAGTTTTGGTGAAATATTTATCTATGTTATTGGTATATAAGCAAGTGATGTAAAAAACAAGTAACAGCTTCTAAAATAATTCAAAGAACTGATTTTTGAGCCTATCCCACAATATGGGATATATATTGCCTANATAAAATGAATTGCATCGTACAATGAATTTTTATTCAATACATTAACACTACATTTGCTACAGTTCGAGAGGCACAGTAAAAAAAGTTCGTTTTAGGAAAATGCGAAAACAAAGAGGAACCTCCCTTTGAAAAATCCTGGATCCGGCACTGGGACATTCCTTTTATGGCGATATTTAGACACTAGAAGTATTTGTTATCTAAAATCTTAACAATAACAGAGGCGCGCAAAGCATAATGGAGTAAACTGGGCCTTTAAAAAAATCAAACGTAAAATTTTCGAATTTTTGTCTCATTTGCCTCGTTTTCGCTCAAGGATGCTCTTCCAAAAGAGTTGGGCCGAGGTGAAACCAAAAAGTTCCAGAAGAAAGAACCTTTAGGGCTACATAAAACTACAGACATGGTAAAATTAATTGGAATATGTTCTCGATAATTGTTATAATGCTATAAAAGGCCTGCTGAATTCTTCTCTGCTTTTCCCGTAGGCTTCGTTCTCGCGTACTTTCAGGCGAAGTCTGTTTCGCCATGGAGTTGCGCTTGTTGCATGCACAACAGTGATTTCGTGCGGGYATTTTACGGCTAAAGGGGACGAACGGTTTTATGAAAGCGTGATTATGCCTGCTGTCAAGCTACTGAACGCCGAGTYTGCACACAGCATGGCAGTTAAGCTTGCATCGTATGGGTTTGTACCGAAAGATACCGAACAGGATCCGGAAATCTTGGTGAGAAGAAGAACATGCAAACAAATAGAAATCCAGTCTTATAATAAACATGTGTTTTACTGATTGAAGTCCGAGAGAGAATGTCCTAGTTTATCTTAATAATCGTTTTATATTGCCTCGTGAAAAAGCTTTTTTTTTTTGAAAAAATATCATTCCACAGGGAGCCCAATTATTTGATGTCATCGCTGCTTGTTTCAATGTTTTTGTTGTTTAACCTTTTTATGACTTTCAATAGACTTATCTATGCATACTTCATTTTCCACAGAATACAAGCGTATTTGGTCTTTCATTCCAAAACCCTGTTGGACTGGCTGCAGGATTTGACAAGAATGCCGAGGCTGTTGATGGACTGTTGAAGATGGGGTTTGGTTTTGTTGAGGTTGGAAGTATCACACCAAAACCACAGGATGGTAACCCTAAACCAAGAGTATTTCGGCTTATAGAAGATAAAGCTGTAATCAACAGGTCTAGTTTGTTATTGTCATCATTATCAACCTCCCTCAAGTCTCAAATATCAGAAATTTCAGAAGAAAGATTACTCAGCATGAAAAAAGGAAGTCTGAATGCTTGGTTCAAATATATTTAAAAGTTCAAATCCTGGACAAAAAGAGTTGAGAATGTTTTAAAAAATCGCTAAATGTTGGAAAGTCTTTGTATTCTCTCTATTTTCCTGCCCTCCTTTGCTCAAAGCTCAAAGTTGTGTTTAGAGAGCACATATACCTGCTGGATTCTGTTGAGTGCTTACAAAACCATTTAGGGGGAAGTTCTAGAGGGCATGTTCTGTTGAACTGACATGGTGCAGTTATTATTCTCAACTTTTTTTTCCAATTTTTCTTTGAATCTTTTTCACATTAAGTTATTGAAGTGACAATAAATGAAATGTTTATCTTCTTGTGAACAGATATGGATTTAACAGCCAAGGCCATGACAACGTCAGGCAGCATCTCCTTGACCAACAAAACGAGAATCGACAAGGAATACTTGGTGTTAATTTAGGCAAAAATAAGACATCAGAGGATGCTGTTGGTGATTATATCAAGGGAGTAAAGTGTTTTGGTAGCTTAAGCGACTATCTCGTCATTAACATATCATCACCAAATACTCCTGGGCTTAGAGCAATGCAAGGCAAAGAACAGCTTACCAGACTAATAGATGAAGTAAGAATAAAGCTTGTGTCTACTAGATATATACATTACCTTTGAGATTTGGCTTTTAGAATATAAAACCGTAAAGAATCCAGAATTGTTTATCAGGTTATTTATCATCCACTAATGTATTATATATTTTTTGTAGGTTCTTGAAGCTCGTAATAGTTTACCTTTACCTCGACTACCTCCTGTATTAGTCAAGATTGCTCCAGACCTAACACAGAAAGACAAAGAAGATATAGCGGCAGTCATCACAAGGCCTGATGTATGCTCATGAAATTAGTTCTTGATTGATTGATTGATTGATTGATTGATTGATTGATTGATTGATTGATTGATTGATTGATTGATTGATTGATTGATTGATTGATTGATTGATTGATTAATTGATTAACAAAGTCAAGCAAAATGTGTTCATTTTTCAGGCTTTTGTTGATGGTATAATAGTATCGAATACCACATTATCAAGGCCACCAAGTTTGGTGAGTAGCAACAGTAAGGAAACTGGAGGGCTTAGTGGTGAGCCCCTTACACAAATGTCGACAGAATTAATAAAAGACATGTATAAATTAACTAATGGTGAGTAAAAAATAGAATAGAAAAAAGTACAATGAAATATGGTTTCTATATGGCCTTTTCTGAGATGGCAGTTTGCATTGCATTGTGGTCTAGATTAGGCCCAAACATCTTTTGTTCATGCTGAGAAATATGCTGTTGTTTGAACTGAAGATAGACCACAATGCACCATGATTTTGTATTTCAGGAAAAAGTCAGTGATAAGAAATGAAATAATATTATAAACACTGTTTTTTCAGGAATGCTGCCGATAATAGGTGTTGGAGGAATTTCAACTGGGCAAGATGCTTATGATAAAATCAGGGCAGGTGCTTCATTAGTTCAATTCTACACAGCATTAGTATATCATGGTCCTCCAGTTGTTAAACGAATCAAACACGAATTAGCTGAGCTTCTTAGGTAACTTTGCAGACTCTGTATTTGATTGATAAATGATTGATTGATAAATGATTGATTGATGGATGGATTGATTGATGGATTGAGTTCTGATGGATTGTATGACTTGTCAGCTGACTGATTGGCAGATTGATTGACCTATTAATGGACTGATTTGTTGATTGACAGATTATTAATGAGTAATGTTGATTGATGTTCTTTTACAGGAGAGATGGATTTAATACAGTCAGTGAAGCTGTTGGAGCAGATCAGCAAAAATCATCCTAACTTAATTTCATTAAATTTTGTAGTAAAACTAAATAAAGTTTATGAAATATGTTGCTGCATGTGGGCTTCCTGTGTCTCTTCTTTCAATATTCACCTGCTATAACGAAAAAGAGATAGACAGAATAATGTGTGGATTTTTAAAAAATGATGGTACCAAAATTTTTGTTGTGATATCTTTTACGGTGAAAGAAAAATGAATACGACTTGAAACAAAATATTCAATGATGGATTGTTAATCGGACTCCCTGTGTAGTCTTTCATCGGAGCTCAAGGAACGCCTGTCGAAAATTGCAGAAAACATGGCGGCCTGTTATGCAAGGAGAAGGTTGTTCTCAAAATTATTCAATTTTCGACGGAAATTCCCACTCTTTTTTTGCTCAAACTACTCATCGAACAGTATCCAAAGCAATGCTCAATATTGCATTCAAATCGTAAGGTATGAGTGGCTCTACGCTTTGCGTTTGGCAACTGAGATTCGAGATGATTTTCTGATTGTCAACATGTTGTCATTATAAAATATTTTGCTTCAGGCGAATGGACTACGAAAACTTCCTTTGTACTCTTCTTATTCCAAAGAAGTTCCAGAAATCTGCGTTTGCTGTTCGTGCATTTAACGTGGAATTAGCGCAGGTTAGGGAATTTATTTTCCATCGTTGTTGATGTTGGTTGTTGTGTTACGTCATCGAGATAAAAGTGTTGCCTTGATGAATAGCATTAACAATATTGAACATCAAACTATCTTTTCAAGATCAGGGACGCTGTAAATGATAAACAGATTGGTAAAGCCAGGATGCTGTTCTGGAGAGATTGCCTTGAGCAAGTTTACAAGGTTTGCACAATCTTTGATGACTGCATGTTTTGAACAACTTCATTTGATCTTTTCGGTTCACAAACTGTTTAAAGGGTCAACCTCCACAACATCCTGTTGCAATGGCATTGACTGAAGCAGTTGAAAAGCATAACTTATCAAAAAGATGGTTTACAAGACTAATAGATGCAAGAGTAAGTACACACTACCATCCTAACTTGCCATGATTTTCGTGATATAGTTGTCTTCATTATTCTTAGGAAACTAACCTTGAAGACAAACCTCATCAAGATATCAAAAGCTTAGAGGACTACAATGAAAACTCTGTGTCTTCTGTCCTATATCTTATATTAGAGTCATCAGGTATCTATTAAGAAAGACAATGATATAATATGTATCACATAAGTGGTTTTCATAGAGTTCCTAATTCCTGATTGATTGATTGGCAAAGGTTTGGTTATTTGGCAGATTGARTGATTGGCAGATTGTTTGATTGATTAATTGATTGATTGACAAAGGTTTGGTTATTTTTGACAGAGTGAGTGATTGACAGATTGTTTGACTGATTGATTRATTGACAAAGGTTTGGTTATTTGACAGATTGAGTGTTTGACAGATTGATTGATTGATTGATTGATTGCAAAGGTTGGGTTATTTGACAGATTGATTGATTGATTGATTGCTCATTAAATGTCTTAGGAATAAAAGATGTCCATGCTGACCACGCTGCTAGTCATATTGGAAAAGCTATTGGAATTGTTACACTTTTAAGAGCTGCTCCATATCTTGCTAACCAACGAAAAGTCTATATTCCAAGTGACATACTTATCAAGGTACAGATTAATCAATTTATAAATTGAAATTGGGAGTCCTGTGTTACCATTGGCGTAGTATTCATTTAAGTGGACCTGGAATCTATAAACAAACTAAACGCTCCTTGAGCATGAAGTCAGACTAGCTTTTTTTTGAAAATTGATAAAGACTTTCTTTCTTCTTCTTTAGCATGAAGTGTCACATCAAGATATAATTCGTGGTAATGCTTCACAGAGTTTAAAGGACGTTGTCTATGAACTTKCTAGTACTGCCAACACTCACATGTCTACTGTAAGTAACAATAAATCCATACTGCAGTTTATGGCTTGGTTGACTATAACCTCATTCATATCGATATTGATTATGTCACATGTTTGAAAAATAAGGAAGCCTTTCTATTTTTTCTTTGCATATTGRATTTTGCTTGGATAGGCGAGATCCTTCCAATCCAAAGTACCAAAGGCAGCAATCAAGACCTTACTACCTGGTGTAAGTACTGTATCTATAGGATGTTTTCATTAAGCAAGATTATCTTCAACAAGGTTTTGTAGCATTAAATCTACACCTAATTGGGGAAAGGTGACTGAGACTTATCTGAGCACTGACAAGTAAAAACTAATGTTGCAATGTACACTAGAGGAAGGTTATCGAGCAGAAAAAAGAGTCTATGAGCTTAATGATGATTAGTGGACAAATTATAGTAGCTCTACTAACTCTTATAGAGGTAATTTAGCTGTATGTAATCTTTTTGTCATTTTCTTGATTTTCACAGGTTTCCTGTCAGAACTATCTCGACAAGGTCCAGAAGGCAGACTTCAATATGTTTGATAATTCATTAAGGGAAAGAAATAATTTATTACCATTGCAACTTTTAAAGCAAGTATTAAAAGGCAAATATTAAAATTGAGGAGAAAAAAATTGTTTGAATTTAAGTAGATCATGTTATAATGTACGATTCGAATTTTTACAAAATAAATTGATATCTAAATATTTCAATCAACAAACCTTCAATAGAGAATCGTCTCCAAAGGCGGCTCGATTCTCAGGCAATCCTGACGTCCTTGTTCCTTACTGTCCTCATACAAAGGCAACTTTGCATCGGACCATCCGCTCCTTCTACCTGGCTCTCCAGGATTTTAATTTACTCGCACAAACGAAATATTTTGCTAGCTAGCAGAACGCTCGACGTACAAGACTTTCTAGACGCTTCATTCAAATCGCGGTCTGGTAAACACAGCTAGCAAATGCGTGCGTTTTCTGACAGCATATAAAARACATGCTAGCGTKGTGTTGTGTTGGAAAGTGGATCATTATAATACTCTAGGGATAGGCAAGATAAATTAGGTAATAATTCTTGCGTTGTAGAACTGTAGCAATTAGAAAAGCGCATAGGGAAGGGCGTGGCACGCGATAGGATTCTCAACCTATCGCAACTTCCAAATCGTTATCCAAGACTTTTATTCCATTAAAATACCAAGATAGATTTTTCATCTTTTTCGCCGTTTTTGCGGGTGTGAACATCGCAATCTCGTTTATTCGCGCGCGTGATGCGATGACAAACAGCCTCGCATATAAAAAACTTGCGACAGTCTTTACTTAGGCTTTTTATTTTTCACTTGCGTCCACTATTCAAGAAATATTATCATTGAAAAGCACAAAATTTCAAACACTACGAAAATGTACATTAAACACGAATTATGTGAAGTATTTCAATGCGTCATGAATGTAGGGCGAGAAAGAAACATTTTTCCTTGTCGTTCGCGGAGTTTTTTTCAACTTCTGCGCTTTGGGAGTGTTTTTGTCCACACCCCAATGAATGAAAAGCAATCACAAACGCTACAAAAACGCACCAGTATGGACAAGGCCTTGTAACTCTGTTTATCCTTTGTTGTGAATCAGTCGAAGCGATTAGACATAAGCCTATCATTTCCTGGTCAGGACGATTCACGAATCTCTTTTCCGTCAAAACCAGACCACCGCCTCTCGATGCAAAAATCGCCCAATCGTTTAATTCAAAGTCTGATATCTTGAACAGCATCGTTTGTGCCTCTATATTTTGATAAAAGCTTAGCAATATAAGTCCTTTACTTCGTAATTCTCACAAATGTTTATAGATGGTTAAGTATATATCGTGAAATAACAATATATAAACAAACAGAACTCCTTGGTATTGTCAGTGGTTGGCATCGATTGTCATGGATACAAAATATACACGTGCACATTCTTGAAATATTTTCATCACTATGGAAATTTCATCAGTCGTTGCTAAGGGAACCGTCAATCATCAAGATCGCTGTCATCATCAGATGATAAATCTCGTGGWGAAAATTTGCGAGTATTTGCTGATGTCGTGTTAGTATTTCGTAATCTGCAAAAATAAAAGATTTCATTAAATCAGAGAATATTTGTTATCCAAGTGTCCGTCATTGTACAGGTCATTGTATTTAGTTTATCATGTCTTTAATGCAGGGAGAAGAACACATTTTAATATTATTCAAAAGATTTATATGTATTTATAAGTCATTAATTATGTTAATGGAAAAAAAGTGTCATTTTAAACGTGTCATTTTAACGTTTATTTTTCTAAGAAGATTGTGTTAACTCGTGGATGTCGTACGCAGCGCAAATCATACGCGCGTAATTTTATTGCCGTCAATAAAAAACCATTTAGAGTAAATTATAGGAACTTACACTAACCCGTTAGCATGAAATCCTTATCTAACGTGAGTTGCGAGAAAGTAGACATCTTTAGGAAAGAGAGGTGGTAGAATAAAAGAACAAGGTAAAACAGAAGGAAAAATAAAACACAAGAAAGATGTTACTTTTCAAATGTAATTAAGGTATTTAAAACATTTAATTAATGAATTGTACTTAAGAAGTTTATCAAATGTTAATCTCTTTCAGTACAAGACTGATTTAAAATTTATATTAACGCTATTACCTCTATTTTACATTCAATATCTTTTTATGAAATCCTACAATGATCGAGGCTTTAACAAAGAGAAAACAAAATTATCTTTTTATTGAATATATCAGTAAGTATTTTAACTTTGATTGGTTTTGGAGACGAACCTTGAAGTCAAATGCTGTACTTGGACTTGTAGGCTCTCAGCACGCTCAGTTTGCTCATCTAACGATCTTTGTGTCTTTCGTAGTAAGTTTAGTTGTGAATCGGTCTAAAAATGAATAATGTATACGTAAAAATATATTAAATTATGAATATATAGAATTAAAGCGTGGCTAAAATAATGTACATTCATKTTGCGTCCTAKWKGRWT